CTGAACAAGGGTCCAGACCCAAAACGTCAGCTTTCCTGCTCCTCTGATGCTGCTTGGCCTGCTGTGTTCATCCAGCTCTACACCCTGTTAACTCACTTCTTTCTAAACTTTCTTGGCAAATTTAGGAAGCATCTTGGACCCCCAGAACATCTTTAACAATGTTTGGAGCCATTTCCCCACTTTTGAGTAAGCCAGCAAAAAGCAACCAAAAATTAAACAGGGTTTCCATTTCTCACTGAAGTTTTATTTAAAGATCCAGCACTCTAGTCCCCAAGGCTGTTTAAATCTGCTGGGACCTGTCATACCCTAAATCTGTTCAAATCTGTCCAGGTCCCAGGACGAGCTCTAAATCTGTTATAAAGAAGAAATTGACTCCCTTTCTGAGAATTAAAACCGAAACACTCAAAGAGCAACACCTCACCCTATAATCTGTAAAATGAGGGTGAAAAGTGGTGTAACCTGCTACTCAGCAACATCTAGTGGTTAAATAAAGTAAATCCCTGACACTCACTTTACAATCAACAAGTAACAATTTATTTATCTAACTCTAACAGTGAAAAATTAACTAAACTATTAACAAACAAAACAAATCCCTTTTTAACTATTGACTATTGCCGAATAATGCAAGATTCTAGTGGTATGCTGTTCCAATAAATACATGTCCTATTTAGATATAAAAAAAATTCGGTCTCTCGAAATTGCAGCCAGGTTATGTGTCTTACAGAATGATCTGTGCCTTTTCCGACAATTCTTCTGTCAGGAATATTAACTCATTGTGCCCTTGGTACTGTTGTTATTTAGATGGTGCTTTCTCTAAGATATAGAGGAGGCTGTGAGAGCCAGCGATTCTGTTTGAGAGCTGAGGGCCGTTAGCTCTGGTGGATGGCAGTTAGCTCTGGGGTCCTTGTCCAACTGCCCCCTTATTTTATACCCTTGATGACACGTCAATATTTCTTACAACAGGATTTGTCCTGAGCTGTCAAAACCATCAGACTTAAATTTGATAGGTTTTTGGTATCTAAGCACCTGGTTCAAATTAATTCAAAAACCTGTAGTCACAGTAAAAGCTGCAGCTTGCTGCTAACTGTGCGGCCTTTCAGTATAAATGTTTCCATTTGGTTGTTGTCAGCGCTACTCACTGACGTTCATTTTAAATCTCAAAGCACAGAAAAAGCACATCATCTTTTAAAGGGACCACGCAATGCTTTCCCCCTCCTTCCCCAAGCATTTTACAAGCACCAAATTCTAACTTCCTGCCTCCCATCCCACATGCACCCTACCTAACTTCACAACACATGTGAAAAAGTTCCTTCTCTTTTTAAATCTTTCCCCTCTCACCTTAAACCTATGCCCCTCTAGTTTTGGACTCCCCTACCCTGGGGGAAAAGTCCTTTGCTATTTGCTCTATCCATGCCCCTCCTGATTTTATAAACCTCTGTAAGGTCACACCTCAGCCTCCGACGATCCAGGGAAAATAGCCCCAGCCTATCCAGCCTCTCCTTGTAACTCAAGCCTCCATTCTCAGCGAGATCCTGGTAAACCTCTTCTGAGCCCTCTCCAGCTCAATAATATCCTTTCTGTAACGGAGAGACCAGAGCTGGACACAGTGCTCCAGAAGAGGCCTCACCAATGTCTTGTACAGCCTCAACGTGATGTCCCAACTCTGATACTCAAATGTCTGAGCAATGAAGGCAAGCGTGCTAAACGTCTTCTTAACCACCCTGTCTATATGTGACGCAAACTTCAAAGAATTGTGTACCTGCATCCTCAGGTCTCTCTGTTCTACATTGCAGACGGCAGGTTATTCTCTAAATGGGGGTAGATTGTGAAAGGGTGGGACCTGGGTGTCGCTGAAGGTAAGCATGCAGGTGCAGCAGGCGGTGAAGAAGGCAAATGTTGGCCTTTATTGTGAGAGGTTTCGAGTACAGGAGCAGGGATGTGTTGGTGCAGTTATACAGGGCCTTGGTGAGACCGCACCTAGAATATTGTGTGCAGTTTTGGTCTCCTTTTACATAGAACACAGAACAGTACAGCACAGTGCAGGCCCTTCGGCCCACAATGTTGTGCCGAACTATTATCCGACTAAGATCAAACTACCCTGCATACCCTACATTTTACTATCCTCCATGTGCCTATCCAAGAGTTGCTTAAATGTCCCCAATGTACGTGACTCCACTACCACTGCTGGCAGCGCATTCCACACGCCCACCACTCTCTGTGTAAAGAACGTACCTCTGACATCTCCCCCATACCTTCCTCCAATCACCTTAAAATTACGCCCCCTCGTAATAGTCATTTCCACCCTGGGAAAAAGTCTCTGACTATCCACTCTATCTATGCCTCTCATCATCTTGTACACCTCTATCAAGTCACCTCTCATCCTCCTTCACTCCAATGAAGAAAGCCGTAGCTCCTGCAACCTTAGACCTGCCCTCCAGCCCAGGCAGCGTCCTGAGGAAGGATGCCCTGGTAATGTGATGTTAGGAAAGCAGCGAGGGTTTACCAGGCTGATTCCTGGGATGGCAGGACTGATGTATGAAAGTGAGAATTGGACCAGTCAGGGCTGTATTCACTGGAGACCAGCAGAATGAGGAGACAGTCTCACAGAAACCAATAACATTCAAACAGGACCAGACCCGGTAAGTGCAGGAAGGATGACTGTGGTGTTCAAAACCAGGGGTCAAACTCTGAGGACATGGGGTAGACCATTTACAACTGACATGAGGAGATATGGTCTTCACCCAGACAGTAGTGAAGCCTGTCGTGAAAGCGGCCCTGGAAAACACATCCAGTGTTTTCAGGAAGGAGTTAGATATTGTTCTTCGGGGCTTAAAGAGCTGAAAAGGGAATGGGGGAGAATTTGGGAACAGGGACGGAGTTGGATGATCACTTAGGAGCCTACTGAATGGGGGAGCACGCTCAAAAGGCCGAATAGCTTCGTCCTGCACCAGTTGTATGCCTGCATTTGGATAGAGCCTATGACGGTTGCTTCGTGATTGAAGGAAGGGGACTTGAGTGTTGTGGGGAGGGAGATGGAGGGTTAAACATCTCTCTTTCTCTTTCTCCCCCATCTCTCTTTCACACACTCTCTCTCCCTCTCTCAGAGATAGAGTTATGGAGTCGCACAGCACAGAAACAGACCCTTTGGCTCAACTCATGCCATGCTGACCTGGTTTCTTAAACTGAACTGGTCCCATTTGCCTGCATTTGGCCCCAGTCCCTCTCAAACTTTCCTATCCATGTACCTGTCCAAATGGATAGCCTGGGGCTATTTTCCCTGGATCGTCGGAGGCTGAAGGGGTGACCTTATAGAGGTTTATAAAATCATGAGGGGCATGGATAGGGTGAATAGCCACGGTCTTTTCCCCCAGGGCAGGGGGAGTCCAAAACTAGAGGGGCATAGGTTTAAGGTGAGAGGGGCAAGATTTAAAAGGGACCTCAAGGACAACTTTTTCACACAGAGGGTGGTGCATGTATGGAATGAGTTGCCAGAGGAAGTGGTGGAGGCTGGTACAATTACAACATTTAAAAGGCATCTGGATGGGTTTTTCTTTTATTCATTCTTGAGATGGCTAGGCCCAGCATTTATTGCCCGTCCCTAATTGCCCAGAGAGCAGAAAACAATCAACCACATTGCTGTGGGTCTGGAGCCACATGTAGGCCAGACCAGGTAAGGATGGCAGTTTCCTTCCCTAAAGGGCATTAGTGAACCAGATGGGTTTTTCCGACAATCAACTATGGATTCACGGTCATCGTTAGACTCTGAATTCCAGATTAATTAATTCCCTGGCAGCGTTCAAACCTGGTTCCCCACGGCATTAGAACGAAAAACAGAAGTTGCTGGGAAAGCTCAGTGGGTCTGAGAGAAATCAGAGTTAATGTTTCGGGGTCCAGTGACCCTTCCTCAGAATGGTTCTGTATTGGCTGTATAGTGTAACTCCCAGGGGCCCTGCCATGAACTGCGCAAGTCCTGGCCTTGGCGTCTCTCGCCCAAACGCAGCACCTTCCCCAGTGTTGGCAGTCCCACCTCCAGTATCTGTGCTCACTCAGAGATAGGAAGAACTGCCGATGCTGGAGTCAGAGATAACACACAGCGCCGAGCTGGGGAACACAGTGTGGAACTGGGGGAACACAGTGTGGGGCTGGGGGAACACAGTGTGGAACTGGGGGAACACAGTGTGGGGCTGGGGCAACATAGTGTGGA